TGTATATATATATATATATATATATATATATATATATATATATATATATATATATATATATTGCATTGGCGTCGCAATGTTCGGGTTCGTACACTCGTGGTCTGAAAACTTTGTGCACCAATTTTTTGTAGATTTCGGAACGCGTCTTAACTTTAGGAGAGAGACAACCACTGCTTGACACGCCAGCGCCGTCACTTATTATGAGAGCAAAAAAATGGCATATACTGTGGCGGCAAAAATTCACTGCCAGTGCTGAAATTCTATAGTATACGTGATATGAACTATAGAACTTCAGTACTGGCAGTGAATTTCGGAACGCAGTCTGTATATGTCATCCTTCTGCTCTCGTAATAAGTGGCAGCGCTGGCGTGTCAAGCAGTGGTTGTCTCTCTCCTGAGAGTCAATTCTGTATCTCAAAACGAAGTGAAAATTACAAAAGTGAGCACATTCACTAGGCACTGACCAATGAAATTACGAATATTCTAGTATATTTGCTCACTTTTGTAATTTTCACTTCATTTCGAGATACAGAATCGACTCCCTGAAGTTGGGACGGTTACGCGACATTATGCCGAAAACTAGATGGGGAATATGTTGGTATCAACGAAAACCCCTGGGTAGCAGAACATTAAATCTGTGAATTGGTAACATTATTGAAGTTGTAAATCTCCATGGGTGTTTACGATAAGTTGTCGGATTGGAAATCCGATTGAACAGTGGTACTCAATTAACACATTTCAAAAAATTCCCTAGCTTAATCAGATTTTAGTAAAAGCTGTCTCAGCAGTAAACTTTACTTTAACTTTAGGCTCTGAACCGGTAACGTGTCAATATTGTCATAAAATTGGGCATACTGCCGACCGTTGTAGACTCATCAATGATAACCGACAATCCCGAAATATTTTTTCTCCCAATACAAATTCGAGTCGAACTAATTCTCCATTTACTAACCGAAATTTTAACAATGTGCGTGTATCACAACCATCTCCAAGATCGTCGCAAAATTCAAGAAATCTAATGCAGATTACATGTAGATATTGCAAAAAGACAGGTCATGAAATTGAAAATTGTCGTAAATTAATGTTTAAGAACCAACTTTGTAATAATCAAGCATCGGGAAACGAACCGATTCCCGCGAAGACAGGGGCGGCTCCGGGAAACATGAATACGCGCCCCGCTCGAACAATAACGACAAAACCCAATACAGACAACGCACAGTAAATCTAACGCAAATTGAAGAAGTTCCGACAATTAGACTAGAAAGTAAAGATTTAATTGTTTCCTCAGCATTTTTAGTGGATGACGGATCAAGCCCAAATATATTGAAAAAACGGTGCTTAAAATCCACTACTCCGGTAAATAGGGACGAAATTCAATTAACAGGGATTACCCTTATAGAAATATCATACTAAGAATTATTGATAATTACTTATTTTCAGTATTAAAGTATTATATTCAGTATTAAAGTATTATTTTCAGTATTAAAGTATTATATTCAGTATTGATAATTACTTATTTTCAGTATTAAAAATACTGGATAATAAGTAATTATCAATGATTCTTAGTATATTTCTATAAGGGTACGACGTACCATGTGACCACCTTAGAGCTGGCACAGGTAGACATCTTAGGACGTCCAGTCAATTTCCACTTAGTAGAAAATGAGACTTTACTAAACCATTTATCGTAACAACCGACGTATCAGGAACCGCTATAGGAGCCATCCTAAGTCAGGGACCGATAGGGAAGGATCATCCTATAAGTTACGCCTCGCGTGTTTTAAATTATGCTGAGAGGAATTATTCCACAATATAAAAGGAATTATTAGCAATAGTATACGCAGTATAACACTTCCGATCTTATCTTTATGGAAAAAAATTTACTTTAGTTACTGATCGCAAACCGTTGACTTGGCTTCATAAAGCGAAAGACCCTACTTCACGATTAGCACGTTGGAGGATTAAATTAATCGAATATGACTATGATTATATTGCTTATAAAGCTGGGAAAACAAATGTAAACGCTGATGCATTATCCAGAAATCCAATAGAACAAATATATATAATACAACTATCGTACGACGAAATACAAGAATGTCCGAAAGACAAAAAATCAAAACTCAGAAATACAAATCCGCAATCCGCAGATCATCACCACAAAAGGGATCAATGATAGAAGGAGCAGAACGCAGAGGAATATAAACTCGAGGAATCAGATCAGAATGGAAGGAGAAAGCGTGCCATTTACTCGAAAAGAATTACAAGAACCTCCTTTTACACAAATCACTGCAGAAGTAGAAATACGTCAGAAGCCCAGGAATACATTTCAACCTACAGAAAATGATAATATACATTTGGAAGAATTATTTTCAGAAGAAGGAAACAATATAGATGTTCCCCATGGAGAGGAAGACTTAAATGCTATCAATGATCGTTCAAGATATTACACCCTTATAGAAATATCATACTAAGAATCATTGATAATTACTTATTATCCAGTATTTTTAATACTGAAAATAAGTAATTATCAATGATTCTTAGTATGATATTTCTATAAGGGCAGACGCAGTTACAACCATACCACCTAATCTAATGCAAATTATAGATAATCTAACAACAGAACTAGACGACGACTATGACAGAAATAACCTTAATAATAACAATTCCAATATTATCCTCGACAATATTAACAATAAGAATCAAAACGATAGCAACATCCAGACAGACAGCGACAGAAACTATAATAACGACAACGACGACATTACTGATAATGACGAAAATGATGTCAATAATGACAATACTGACAATTATAACGAGTGACAGCGACGAAACCGATATTGATAAAAATTTTAATGAATTCGACCCAGGTAAAACAGGAAATTCCGATGAATCACAAATAATAAAAGGATTTCAAAAACATAGTATTATAAATAGTCGTGATCAAATATTTATGTGTAAACAAAATTACTTATATTTTATGAGCCTAGACGGTAAACCTTGTAACAATGGATCTAAACTCCTTTTAGAACGAAATTCAATCCCGCGTATAACTAACGTACAAACAGGAAAAGTCATTGCTATTAAAAAGAGGAATAAACTTCACTTTATTCTTATTTGTAAAGACAAAATAACTGATAAAATAACGAAAGAGATTTACATCAACTATCGATCTCACTTTATGAAACATTAATAAATTAATTAATAACCCAATAAAGATATTAGTTTTAGCTAGAACAGCAGAAATTGACGATTTCAAATGGAATTCACTCTTCGAAATTATTCATAAATCATTGAGAGGATTATCAATCAAATTAATTATTTGTCACGGATTAGTAAAGATACCAGATGTCGAAAATCGAAAAACTATCATTGAAGAAGCATATTCATCGATAATTGGTAGACACAAAGGAATAACAAAAACCTACAACCGCATTAGACAGAACTTTTATTCGGATAATTAAAAAATTGATGTACACAAT